GTTTTGAACAAATAATTATCTCAAAAACAATTTTTAAAAAACGGTGCTGATAAATTTCCATTGCATTTAATTATCATCATTCATTAGTTTAATTTTATTAGCTGTGAAGATGACAGATTCACTTTTCTACTAGAAAAGATGTTTCACTCCTGTTTGACTCTAAAATTGCCATGACCTTGGATTCAGTGTGAATGTGCCATTGTCAGAGAAAACAAGAAACCAGCACATTAAATCTACTGAGATGAGTAGAAGGTGGCATGTGAGTGCCACCTTCATTCATTCACCCAGTAAAAACTGTCTTGATTGAGGGCAGGGTATTTCAACATGAATCCAAGAAAATATGACCTCTATGCATTATAAATTCTTGCAACCAGACTTTTAAAGACTCATGTATTCCTCACCAGAAAATACTGCTAAAAGAGAGTCTCAACAGAAACTAGGAGCTTCTTTTAGATTGGCCATTGAAAATGAAATTTTCTGCAAAATAATTAAATAAATAAAACCTTGACATTCTGAAAGGAATTTTTTTTAAAAAAAAGAATAAAAAACAAGGCAAATCAACAAGGGGCCTGGAATTTACTGCTAGTACATTAGCATTATTTCCTGTAACCCAATAGCTTACAGAAACCATAACCCACCATAACAAACACATTACATTTTAAGCAATTACTACTGGACACATGCAGGCTAAGGGGCAGGGGAGAAAGCCATGAAGCTTGTCACATATAACAGCTGAGCAAAGGAGAGCATTGTGACACTTTTAAAGCACTTAAACGATGATTCATTCCTTGAAACAAAACAGCTGGCTTCTGTTTTGCTATATTCATTAGGAAACATATGTTACTTAGGAATTCATAAGACCTCACTGATGAGAAATTTGATTCTGCAAAACAGGTGTATTTCAAACTCTAAGGACCTTTTCTATTGCTCAAAATCTTTTCTAATTGCTTCAGAATCTTAAGTGGAATTAGACAAAGCCAGTGGCATAACTGTTCCCTCTTCCCACCCAAATAAATAACTTAGAAGAGTCTACAGGGAACTTGATGCAGTATCTAATATAAGTGTACATATGAAAAGATTTTTAAATTGTAATTAACAGGGAAAAGCCTCTGCCCATAAGTAATACATAAAATAAATTAAAAGACATAAGTATCACAGTTGCTAAGAGAGAAATCAACTCTACTTATTCACATTCAATTCTTCTCTATTCTGGAAAAATATGTTCTTTTTTAAAATTGCAGTGTTACTCATGGGTCACCACAGTGAAATTTCAGAACTTCTCTAGTTACTCTCCTGGGTCTTTTGCTTTATGCCTGTGGTGGCCCTAGTGGTCCTGATTCTTGGCTGAATATTAGAATGACCTGTAGAGCTTTTAGGAAATACCTGCTCTAGCCCTTTCCTTAAAGACTTTGCATTGGGGTGAGACTGATAGCTTTATCATTTAAAAGTGCTTCAGATAATTCTCACATGCAGCCAGGGATAAGAGCCACTGAGTGTTGGAAAGAGTATGAGCTCTGGGATCAAAAGTAAGTCGTGGCATTAACAACTGTGTCACCTTGGGAATGCCACTTCATTTCTGTAAACATCAGTTTCCTCAATTTAGCTATCAGAGTTCATGGGAGGATTAAAAGCAAATGAAATGAACTTACCAAAAAGCACAATTCCAAACACACATGAAGCCCCCCATAAAAATTTGTTCTTTTCTCCTAAACATTTTCCCTCTATTGAGGTCTCATTTAGTTCTTTTTGGCATTAATTGCTACCATCTTTGGTGGCTTGTCTTGCTCCTCTTTGCATCTCCCACCACAATTTCAACAGAGAATGGACTCAACTTGTGTTGTAGAATAAAAGATTTAACCAGAGTACCTTAAACACATAAATGACTTATCATGGCTATATTATGTGCCACTTCTTGATGCACTGACCACAAAGTAGAGTTACACAAACAGCCTACTCTTCAGAACCCAACATCAAAAGGAGACGCCAGACAAGCACAATCAGCATTAGAATGTACGAACATATCACTTCCAGTTTAGCAGCCACTCCCTGTATCAAACATAGTAAGATAGGGAGAACCAGCAGGAAAGACAATTTGGTTTTGACAGTAAATGGCAATGGAGGCCATGCATCCACAGGACCAGCCTACTAGAATTGAAATAATAACCTCTGCTATGTAGCTTGCCTTAGGCTGAAAGGATATGATGAAGGGATCATGTATAAGCAGATAGCTTAAGGAGAAATGCTGCTTTCTAGAAACAGTGAGAAAGGTAGCAGAATAAGGACTCCTAAAAAATTAGCCAGTGTTTTTTTCTGTTGTTTTCTTTTTTGAGCAGACCATCAGGGGAACAAGATGGAATCTCAACAGCTCATAGCCTTTTAAGTAACACAAAAGTATCAAACTGAAGGAGGGTCTTTGCTGATGTTCAGAAAATTCATCACTTGTCTTTCAACTCCTATCCATATTGATAAATTATTGAAAATTCATTCTAAATATGAAATACAACCCCATGTTTATCTAAGATTTGGGTATAAACACTTTTGTTTGCAGAATTTTAAATGAAGGACAATGTCCTAAGGATTGCTCCAAGCCCAGCCTCACACAGGGGCTGTGCATGGGGACAGACCACACCCTGTTCTATTCTTGCTATTTCATTGAAACACTATTTTATATTGTTCCAATACATAACATCTCTGAATATAATTACTCTTATTCTTCTGCCAACACTTTTCTATCCTCCTTTGATTTTTGAGCTGAGGTGATTTTTATATGTAATTTCTAGGTCATCCCCCCACTTTCTCCTTTTATTTTATTAGGTGGGTCTAATTACTAATCTCATTTTTCCTTCACACTTATATACTGGGGATTTTAGCACCTACCTGATGGGTGACATGAAGGTCGTTCTAATGCCTATTCATGTCAGTTGTTTATTTCTTCTTTCAATCCCCAACAATGGATGCCTTAAAATATTCACCAACTTCTTTCCTCACTTTGGTTACAATTTACTGTCTCTAAAACAAAAAATTTCCATAATGTATAAATATAAACTGAGGATATACTAAGTGTTTAGAGACTAGAAGGAAAAATGTTTCTGTATTTTGCTCTGTATTAAGACAAAAACATCTACCTAGCACACTAAATTCTAACTTACATGGGTATTACTTCAAAGAATACATTAAATATTTAAAATGTGAGTAAATCTAGAGAAGAAATAAGCCATAGCTATTCAGGTGGTATGTGACATAGCAAGAACTGTACGGTTGGTGTGCAGATGACCATACTTTGGGAAACCCTGCTGAAAATATACATAGCAACACATCCATGAATTGACTATTTTTCCATTTGGTATCTTGGCTTTCCCAAACAGGGCTCTGAGGATACTGACGGGAAGACTGGTCATATGAAAACTTAGTACTGTGATTTAAATTTTTCAATAGAAACTTACAAAACACATTTCATAAACCTAGAAGACTGATTAATGAAAATACAATCATGACTACCCATTCTACAAAATACCAAGAGATGGATTGTGATAGAAACTATAAAATAAGTCCAAGATTTGAGAACTGTGATAAATTTGCAATTGAAGTACTTTGGAGTAGGCAGTTGTTAAAGGTTTCAAAATTAACAGAGAGAGGTACCTCCACACACAAGGGGGCAGGTTGAAGATGTTCACTTCCTCCTTGGTCATGACAGAGGAAAGCTGAGTGCCCATTAGTGGGGCTGGGATAAGGCTGGCCATCAGTGCATCAGCATGCCATGCAAATCGTACCACGAATGAGCAAGATCACACGTATCAACACAGATGGACACTGAAAAACCACTGGGGGGAAAAGCCACAAATCACTATATACATGATAAAACTATTGATTGAATTTGTCTTATATAACAATAGAAAAAAAACATTGGCTATAATGCATTGTTTATGATTCCACATAATGCAGTAAAAAAGTACAAACATATGGACTGAAGGATAAATTCCAAATTCATGAAAGTGGCTCCCTCTGGGATAGAGAGGGAAATACAAAGAATTTCATCTTTTATGGTAAAGTTTTTAATTACTTTCATTCTAGATGCCTAGTATATGAAGGCTTGGCCTATTCAGCTCTATGTTTTCTGTGTGTGTGTGTATGTGTGTGTGTGTGTGTGTGTGTGTGTGAAGCTAAAACAAAAATACAACAATGGCAAAAAGGACATATACCTGGAAATGCAGAAATGTAATGGTGAATATCATTGTTCAAAAATGCTCCTGAGGTACAAAAAAAAAAAAATCAGAATTCCATATCTCGTAACAGCTATGTTTAAGAGTTAGGTGGTACTCAGAGATCATGGTAAACTCTGGGAGGCACACAATGCTGAAATTTCTCTGAAGGCCGATTAGTGATATAATTCCTTTCCATAAGTGTTATCTCTCAAATTGTATTTTCTGGAAATACTCTTTATATGTCACATACAAATCCCTCTTCAAAATTTTTGACCAGTACATCCTAGACATTTCTAAGCTGCTGCAGTCACCATACATATGAGAATGCCTTCTTTGTCCACAGCCAAGCATCTAAGAAGCAAGATAAGTGCTGGGGACAACAGAGGGACTCAGTTTTCTTCTCAAGACTCCTGTCACCCCTACTCCCCACCCCCCACCTATGAAAAAAAAAAAGAAGTGTCTGGAATAAAATGAGTCTGGACAACTGTGTCTTTTAAAGGACCTGATAACTGAAGTCACAAAAATATTTTACTTTTTGATAAACAAGAAAAAGGTGAATTTTTTCTCCTGTCAATGTTGCTTCCTTTAAAAAATAATTAACATTTTTTCACATTAATTTTAAATATCATAATGAAATGTTATTAATCTCTGAGTGATCTAAAGGTATTGTAAAGTGCCTGCAAACACACTCATGCAAATTGCCTAACCAGATTTGGCACTTCACCTTGTTCCTTGGACTGTAATAGGTAAATTCTACAGTTAGTGGAAGCAAGTAAGATCACCCTCTAGTCCTGACAGTCAAAGGGTACTTCTCTACTCTCATGCAAAATCTCTCTTCTGCTTTTTCCTTCAAAGGGTGAAACAGGACTGCCAGGATTTCCAGGGTCTGTTGGCCCTAAAGGACAAAAAGGAGAACCTGTAAGTATTTTAGCATGGAGGGCAAAGTAAGAATAACAACAAAACAACAAAAGAATTAAAATATTTTTCCAGACCAGCCCCAATTTTCATATATTCTGGTTTGACCCTGCCATAGCGAACAACAGTAGATCAAATCTTTAAGCAAGTATGTACTATGCCAGACACCAAGTTCTTTCATGAATTAACTCATTTTATCCATTAAAAAATTCCATGAGATAAGTTATTATTACTTCATTCTTCAGGTGAGGAAAATGAGACACAGAGAGGTTAAGCAATTTTACCACAGCCGAATTATTGGAGCCATAAATCACACGTAGGTGAGCTAAACTCGAGTTTAAAATCACTAAGTTGACCTGATGTAGCTTAACATGATAGCTGAAATTAATAACAAAGACAGATACTAGTTTATATAAAAAGTTAGAAACATTTATCTATCTGATCAAACAAATGTTCTCAGTATACCTTCTGAAGTTATTTTTTGCGAGATCAAAGGGACTTCCCCAAGCTACTTTTCAATATTGCTGTGGCCAGTTTCTATTAAAACTTAGCTCTTTCTGTGGGGAATTAAAAAACAAAAACACAAAACCTACTATATCATTATTGTGGTTTGGATGTGAGGTGTCCCCCAAAAGCTCATGTGTGAGACAATGAGAAGGTTCAGAGGGGAAATGATTGGGTTGTCATTTCTGCATTTCCAGGTATATATATCCTTAACCCAATCAGTGAATTAATCACCTGAAGGGATTAATTGAGTGGTAACTTTACGTCAGCACTGTACCTATGAATCTTAGTTATCCTACCCCAGGGGTCATGCTAGCCCTTAGTGCCAAGTCCAAGGCTCCCTAATGCAGTACAGGACCTAACAGCCTTTAATATTCCTCCCACAAGTGCAGCCTGGTGGAAGCCACCCCTTCCCTCTGCCAACTTGCTCCTGATGCTCCACACTTGAAGGTTCTCCTACCTGCTTCTCCAGGTCACCATTCTCTCCCCTTCAAGCCTAAATACTGACTTCACTTTCTCTTAATTCCTGTGTGCATCAAGGAGGACCTGGCAGTAAGATTGACTAAAATTCCATTGGAAAAGCAGAGAATTATAGAGCAGAATGAGAAATTTTCAGTGAGTTAAAACAGTGCTTCTCACACAGGAATATGTGATTGAATCCTGCTGTTCTAATTTAATGGGTCTGGGGTGGAGCCCAAGAACCTACACCTCTCACAATTTCCTAGATGATGGTGGTGCTGATGGTGGTTCAAGGTCCCACTTTGAAAAGCAGGGGTTGGAGAATTTCATGGTTTCTGGAGTGATAGGCCTTTCCCTCTTTGGGGATTCCCTCTGGCTTTCTGTCCCATCACTAGTGTTCAAGGCAAGCCCCTACCCCACTGGGACTGCTTTAGTCTACCTTATCCAGGAAGAGGCCTCCTTTCCTTCTAACTCTTCTCCTTGCCACTTCCCTCTTAATGCCTTAGGCATCTGCCACCTCTATTTATCTTGTTTGCTTTCCTCTCTTGCCCACACATAAAATACCACAAATTTTACATTATTCTGCAGAGCAGTTTAGTTCTTTGTGGTATCCATCTTTCTATTCCAGAATTAGAGCTGGATTTGACTTTGCATAATAACCAGAAGGTCCAATCAGAACAGTAGTCATCATCCAAAGTTGAATTCTGAACCACTCATCTGGAATGGCAGCTGTCAATGGCAATTTGTCCCTTCCTACTGGACATTCAGAAAGTGACTAGAAGTGCAACATATTGAAGCTAAAATATGCAAAAGAGATCATCTAGTTGAAACCCATGATTTTATAGAAAAAGGGAGATTCTAAACGTTTAAGAGATTTGCTCTGGATAGTAGTAGTTGGAGCTAGGACTACTAAATATCAAGTCTCCACATAACCAATTTATTGGGTTTTTTTCTTTCGAAAGCTATTTTAGTCAATGTGGATTTTGAGCTTGACAGTGACTCTAAACAAGCAAGGACATGAGCATAAACAAGTACTGACATAAGCAGTGTGACTCCTTGATCATATCTAATTAACTTTATGTCAAATCTTTAAAAATTAACTTGATTTTTAGAATGAAATCCAAAAAGCAATAATATAAATAAAGCCCTGTGAATGTATAGAAATTAACCAATAATAGAAGATTTCATTATGTTAGGTAGATGTGTGGTTTATTAGTCAGTGTAGTCTTGGTTATGCTAAGTAACAAATTAATCCTGAAATTTCTGTGACTTTAGTGCAAGGAAAGTTCTCTATTGCTCCTGCCTAAAATGATTCAGTAGGAGGGGTAGGTGTTATGCTTCACTCTGTGTTCAGTTACCAGGCTATACCATCACATAGCTCTGTCTTCTGTCACATACAATCTTCTTAGTCACCATTGCTGGGGAAGTGCGTCTGGAGGATTATTAAATGGGTTCTCACTGCCTTGTTAATGATACATGTCATTTTCGTTACATTTCGTTGCTAGAATTAGCTACATGGCTTCATGAAACTGCAAGGGACCTGGGGAACATGGGAGAAGGTGAACTCTTAGCCCCAAACACACAATACACAAGATGAAAGGCTCATTAAGTACTTGCTTGTCTCCAAAGAGTGATTAGTTAAAAATCAAAATAGCAATCCCTGAGCACTGGGGATTGAATCCAGGTTGAACCCACAGGCACTCTACCTCTAAGCACCTAGATAGCCACCCTACCACCACCAGCTTTTTTTTTTTTTTTAACTTTGGGACAGGGTCGTGCCAAATTGCCCAGGTTGGCCTTAGACTTGTAAGCTTTCTGCCTTAGCTTCCTGAGGGGCTGGGATTATGGGCATGTGCTACCACATCTTGCTCCTAAGAGAACTTTTGAGAGTAGTAATATCTCCCAAAATGGTTCTTACATTTTTCTCCAAAGGCACACCCCCAAAGACCCTCTCTTCATCAAAGTTCCACCTCCTGCAGTTTCCACCACTTCCCAGTCGTCTATTCAGCTAGGCACCCATCAATGGATTGATCCCTTGATGAGGTTAGAACTCTCATGATCCAATCACTTTCCAGCCCTGCTACAATGGGGACCAAATCTTTAACACATGAACCTTTGGAAAATATCCCAAATCCAAACCAAAATAATAATTTACTCAATTCAAATAATATGACGCAGACTAAATCTTCACTAAGTGAAGATTGGAACTGAAGTCTGGCTGACTGAGTTTAAATCCTGAGCCATCTTTTGGTAGCTCTGTGACCTTGGAGAAATTATTTAACTTCTCTGTGCCAGTGTTTCTTCATCTGTAAATGGGTCTACTAATAGCACTTACCTGAGTGACACCTGAGGATTAACTATGTGATTATATATAAAGTGATTAGAACAGTGCTTGATACATTATAAGAACTCAATAAATGTTAACTACGATTGTTATATCTGCATTAAGTTCACTTATTTAATAAATGTGTTTGGATCCCAGTAATGTAAAGGTCTAAGATGTGAGACACCAGAGGTGCTATGAGTATCAAGATGAATTGTATCTCTACACTCAAAGAGGTATAGCCAAGATAAACTAGGAAACATTAAGTAAAATGGATGAATACTAATGTAGGGAATAGAGGGAGCTATGACAACTCAAAATTACTGGACCTTCACAAGTCTCTTTCCCCATCCTTGAAATGGGACAATAATTCTTTTGCACAGCATAGCTATGAAGATAAAATGAGATCACATACTTGTAACTCTGAGAACAGAAACTAGTAAGGGAGCCTGTGTGTGCACAAGTGTCTCTATGGGTTAACCTGGGTGGCAGTAATCACACCTCAGTGATTGTGGAGAGTGTTAGCTAACAAGGGGCTGCCTCCAAAGCTTCTGTCACTCCCCAAGCTATTCATACTTCAACCAAGAACTGTTATCAGTTCCACACCCCATTATTTACGTCCTAATTAATCCCTTTGAGTTATTTTCATTATAGTAAAAATGAAAACTGGAAAAATATTTTTAATGATTTTGTGTGTTTCAAGCACAGCTAACGAGTTGGAAGCATTCTCAGGAATGCCCTTACCTGGCCATCTTGTGGCTGTCACAGGCTTCTGCCCCCAGTTGCATATGTGTGTGATCCCTCTTCTTCACCAGGCACCAGGAAGCTTTGTCCCTGGGCAGCATTTCAACTTGTTGGCCACCGGGGATTCTCTAAATAGTGTTAGAATGATGAACTCGGTGTTCCTTTGAGAATGTGGAGGAGCTTGTAAATTAATTCTCCTAGGCCCCCTCTCAGCTGCAGAGGCAGACTGTGTGCAGTAGAGGTGTGAGTCTGGCCTGCAGGCTCTATCCACTCCCAGCTTTGGAGGGTTTATTTCTAAAAGTGTTTTTAATTGATTCTGCTTTCTACCCATCTCCCTAGGGGGAACCCTTTGTAAAAGGTGAAAAGGGAGACCGAGTAAGTAGATGTTTTATCACCCTCTGGGGTTTTCTACTTCATTGATTTCTCTCTCCAATTTCTGTTATGTTTACTTGAGAGTCTAATAGATTTGATAAAATAAGCTTCCAGAGCATTTTTACTTTTCCTTCTGTGATTTTGGACTTTATATTAAACCTGGTTAAGTGCTGTCATGGGATAATACTTTACCATTTGGTTTTGGGTTAGATATGTTTCCTCTAACCTTCCACTACTAGTGATGGGACAGAAGTGTTACAAAAGACATCAAATTAAGATAGGGAAACTACAAAATTAAAGTAGAAGATAGTTTTTTTCAAAAAACTATCTGTTAATGATACAAATTGGATACAAATCCAACAGATTAATAAGTCATGGAAAAATAAGGAAAGCAAACTGATTATAGCCAGTATTGTCCCCCTTAGTATAATCGTAATTTTTCTGTTTTTAAAATTAAATACCTGGATAGTACCTGATTGCAGAATCACCAGCACATATCACCCTAACATCTATTCTCCTCCATATCATCTGAAGAGTTAATTCTTAGGGAGGCAAGTTTAGTTGGTGGCAAATCATAATAATGAGAAGTAGAGAACGCAGGAGGATTTCAAAGATGGCATTGGAGTGAAAATAAAACTATTGTTAAAAAAATAAGAGTTGTTGTTCATTAGGATTAAGTGTTTTGATCCTGTTGTAGAATGAACCCTCCATGGTTTCATCACATCTTCCATAAATTCCCCCTTTATTGTGTGTTAATTAATGGAAATTCAATTAAACTGTCAGATGTCCCGGCCCATCTGAATTTTCATGTTACCTATATGGTGATTATTTTATTTACAGGGAGAACCTGGAATAATAGGATCACAGGGAATAAAGGTAATCTCCTATTATTTTCCAATTATGTCTACAACCTTAATAAGATGGTGAAGACTATAGTAACATTTAACTTTCCTTCTCACTCACATGTTTAGGGAGAACCTGGAGACCCTGGTCCCCCTGGTTCAATAGGAAGCCCAGGACTGAAGGTATATAAGAAGTAGCTGTGCTCTATTAGGAAATAATCTGGAATTTGTAGCCATTCTATATTTTAAAGGGTGCTTTGGGGTGCCACTCATTTTCTTCACAGATGTTCTCAGAGACTTGATCTTGTTTCCATGGTGATTTCCCACCCCCATCCCCACTAGCTGCATTTATTTCACGCATAGTAACTGTGCCTTTTGGTTCACAGTAGAATTTGAAAATTATTTTTCAGAGCATATTCACCATAGTATCCTTAAAAGCTTTAAGAGTAAACAATGTCAGCTAAATCCGTGACCCTGAGCTGTATTCTTAAAAGGAACAGGAGTCAGGATTCATTTCTAAACCAAAAGTATACAGCTATGAGTGCTTCAGTTTCCCATTTGTGATTCTGCAGGTGTATCCTAAGAAAGAATAGTTTTGGAGAGGTGTGGGAGAGATTAGCATGATGTGCTCCCAGCCAATGGGTAGGGCAAGTTACTCACTTATCCCCTACTGATGAAAAACAGACCCATTAAAAAAGAAAACATCTAGAATCTATCTTAGAAGCCCAAATCACACTTCAGTATTATACACATATGGTAGGATAATGGAAAGTCTTTCTTTTTACAGATAAAGTTCACAACATGTTTTACAAATATTCAAGTACAATCTTTCTAACTTTTAAGGAAAGGTATAGCATATATCATCTTCTCTTTTAGGGTCAACAAGGACCTGCAGGTTCCATGGGACCCAGAGGACCACCAGGAGATGTTGTATGTATACTTCAGTATTTTGAAATGAAATTGAAACTATGGTATGGTTTTTTAAATGTCAATGGCTGTTCCTGTAACTGAGTTCCGCTACATTTCTCAAAGACCTAGTCCATCTCCACCCCTGAAGGCTGGGCCATTCGTACACTCGTGTGAGGTCCTTTGGAGGATCATTACCCTAACAAATTGGTCTTTGAAACTCAATTTAACTAAATTATCATTTGGGACAATCTTGTCAGGAGTGTATCTGTGGTCTATGAGACAGCAAATATCAAAAGTAATAAGGAAAACCAAGAGACAAAGCAAGAATTTCCCATATGTATGGCTTTTGATTCAAATCTCCATCTGCAGAAAACACTTAGAAAGCTTCTGTTGTTTTCTATCAAGAGCCCTCAAAAAAAGGAAGTCTTTTGGCTGAAAGTGTTTCTGTAATGCACTTGGAGGAAGACCTTCAGGCTGCCTTATAACCTTAGTATAGTGGAGTCAGAGTCTCTCTCTC